TTACATTACCGTCCCGGGGTTCATTTAGAGCTAATAGCGGGGGTTATTTGAAATTTAGATATGAAATTTGGTTTTACAGAAGAGTTGGGAATAATGCCTGTTGTTTTTGTTTACATGATTTCTTCGTTACCATATTCATTTTTCATAATTGCAAATAGTCGACATAGACGATCATCACACTTAAAGCACTCCGTGACTATTTCATCGTTTTCTAGGTTAGAATTCCAATGTTTCTAAACGACGAACAACTAGTGTTTAAATTAAAATTAAAATATATTTATTCCTAACAAAAGCCTGGTCAACTTGTCAGCGATGTTCAATTGATACTCCAAACATTTTAACATCATTTATCAGTAAATAGTATCGCTATACAACATAGAAAACAGTATACCTTTCCATTCTAATGCAGTTGGTGGCAGGCACATACATATAACACAGAATGTATGGCGGTAAAATGTGCATCTTACTAGTAGTGCAAGTTTATCTAAAGAAACTACATTTTTAACTCCGTATAAGTGTTTAGTCATACCGTACTGTTTTGTTTCGAGATATCGTTTACGAGGATCGCCCTGATGATGTGACGAAACCGGTAGTCATTAGACAAACCAAAGGATATTGAACAGGAACAGTTTATTTAAAAAGCTGAACCTCAAACATTGGACTTCATGGGACTTGTTCTGAAATATTTAAATTATGAATAGCCCTTAGCTGAACATATTGAAGAACTAACTTAAAGTAAAATTTCAACCCGGTTCGTGAAGTTTTCGCGTTCACTCGGACACACTTGAAACCAACGTGGATGTGGATTAAGATTTAGTCATGAGTACTGCACACAAATCCACCTTTTGATTAAACATCTCACACAAGAGTATTGTAATAGGAGGGTCAAATATTGTAAAGAGGAAGTGTTTGGCAATGTTGTGTGAGTAGGCTGGTAGTGTTGTTAAACAATAACTTGTTGTGCTGACCTACTGAAAGCTGTTGCTTTAAGTAGGCCAGTGCACTTGATCAAGGGGTCAGATTTGGTGTGTAGTCTTTGTGCTGGATGCACAGGGTTTTCATTTGTTACGTGCTGGGAGCACAAGGTGAATTTTTGTTATGTGCTGAGTGCACGAGGTATTTTTGTGCTGTATGCTATGTGCTAGCTGTACAAGGTTTTTATTGGTCCTGTGCTGGGTGCACATGTGTAATGTGTGTTTCAGATCTTGTTTGCTGTGCACAAGTGAGTGTATTTGCCTCGTTAAACTTATGTTAAATCTGGGATCTTGTAGTTCCCAGGTTTCTTGATTATGTGATTTTGTGGTTGCAGACCTGCTATTTCTACTCTAGAATGTATATTGTGCGAATAGTGTGGCGGACACATGCTATCCTGTTTCAGCTCTTTATGCGCAGTAGATGCAGTGAATGGTGGATAAATATATTATATTTTGTAGAAGTAGTTTGAGGGATAATTATTCATAGTGTATTATGGTGTGTTTAGAAATATATTTGAGTTTTAACTTTAATTTGATAGTAATATATTTTTTTCAGATGGGGATTTTTACAAATGGTTAATACTGTTAATGATTAGAGTAGGTGTTCATGTTGATATTTCAGGGTATTGCACAGGCTTAGTTGCAGTGGCAGAAGTCAGCTCAGCATGTTTGTAGGCTGAGGAATGCTGAGCGTGGTGTAAATGGCCTCTCTGTGACCTGACCTTGCTGACTGCTGACCGTGTTTTGTGACAATACTGACAATGTTTACCTATTAATACAGATGCTAGAGTTTGCTTTGGGAAATCAGTAATGCATGAATGTTTGATTTTGGGAACAAATTTTTGTTTTTACAGGTGATAGATTGTTGGAGATATTTTAAAGGGAAATTGGTTTTGCTTACGGGTTAGATTGTAACGATTTGGGCCCAAATCATTTTTTTCCAGCAATCTTGTTTTCGATTTGTTTTGAGAGGATAAACATGAAATTGTTTAAGTACATTTTTTTTTAATGATTTTTTTTTAGTTGTTGAAGTATGTGATTTAAAAATGTAGCCTACTGAAGTAAAATGTTTAACTTGTTTTAACACCGAAGCAAAGTAGGGAGTGATTTGAAATGTTTGTTTAACTATTTTTTTTTAATAGTAATCAATTTTGGTTGTGTTTTTAAAGATACTATGGGAAATCAAATTTGATTCGGGAGATAATTTTGTTTTGTTAGTTAAGAGATAAATCGCATGACTCCCCGAAAATAACTGTATTGGGAAATAATAGTGTCCTTTAGTGAATTTAATAGTCTCACAAAATTTTGAAGACAAGACGGATTATGTATTACAAAAATATTTTATTGAGATATATTTTGGTTTTTAGATTTTTAAGTATCAGGGACTTCAGTGGGAGACATATTGTTTACAATATTTTATTTTTGATTCAGACTTAAATTGCAAAGTACCAGATATGAGAGACAACTGTTAAACTATTCCTTGTTTCGAATGCTTTAAAAAGGTCATACTTGAAGAGTTAAAAGTAAACCAATCAGAAATTATATATAATGTTTTGTTATTTAATCGTATAGGCCTATGATTTGTTAAGGTAACACATTCCAAACACTTCTCTTAGTTTCAATAATTTTTGTTTTAATGTTGGTTGTTTTGTTTTGTTCTTAATGTGAGTTTAAGAATTTCTTTAAAAGTCTAGGGTTTTTTTTTATAAATTATATGTTGTATTTGTGAGTTATATGTTTGTGTAGGCTTCCTATTTACCCATCCCCACTGACCAACTGTAGACAAGGCTACAAGAACTTCATGATTTGCCGTGTTATCTTCAACATTGTGATCGGAGGAAGAGACTTTGTCAAATTCAATAAAAACTGGGGAAACGCAGCTGGGGGCAAGGGCTTTTAAGAAGAGGAGAACTTCAGGCTGCAGTACACTCAATCAATGGCAAAGGCAGTCCAACATCATCGTCAACCAAAGTCGATCATCATCAATGCTGTCAAGGAACGCTGGACGGACTACAGACTATAGACACCGAAGTGGGAGACATCGCAGAAGACATGGCTGTGGTCAAACATCTGAAGACCAACGACTGTTCGAGGAGGCTTTATCGACGCAACTGCTGAGGTAGTCAGCAAACAGTTGGTCAGTTCTTCCCCTCCTAAACCTTATTTTAATTTTGTTTAGGTACAATTTTAAAAGATTTTATCAGTTTTTGTTATTAATTTTTTTCTCTCTTTGAGTGGATGTATCTATGTAGTTGAGACGCTGGGGACATCGTCTGGAGGAAATGGGGGGATGTAATAGGAGGGTCAAATATTGTAAAGAGGAAGTGTTTGGCAATGTTGTGTGAGTAGGCTGGTAGTGTTGTTAAACAATAACTTGTTGTGCTGACCTACTGAAAGCTGTTGCTTTAAGTAGGCCAGTGCACTTGATCAAGGGGTCAGTTTTGGTGTGTAGTCTTTGTGTGGTGCACCGGAGGACAGGGTCCTGCTGGGGGAGCTGGAGCCCAAGGCCCTTGGCCTTGGGTCCAGGTAAGACAATGTAAACGGTTTTCAAAATTGGGGTTTAGAGTCTTTTCCAAATTGGGGTTTAAGCTACTAACTTATTTATACAGTTCCAGTCTACTCTACCTTATTGTTTGATTTTAATTTTTGTGTTCTTTGTGTTGTTTTGAGTAATTAATAAAGTTGGGTTTTGTAAGCGAGTGCTGAGTTTCATTCCTGAGCTACGTCACCCAAAGTAACAGTACGTATTCCAAGAGGAATTCAACCGTTACAGTATTCATACTTGTGTTAGATTCCACACACGCGCCAGGCTGGGGCTCAGCTGAGCAGGTCATCAAATATCCATGACAACGTTGTACCCTCCAGCTGAGCCCTCCCCCCCCCTACAGTGTCTGTGTCACTGATGGATCTGTACAGAATGACAATAAAACAACAGCTTGGGTGTCATACGGGTTGATACTTCATGAACAAGTACTGTAGTATAAACCCCCGCCGCAGCAAACCTGCAGACATGAATTTCCATTTACCTGGCTAGAATTCCACCAAAATATTCCCTTGAAGTTGTCAGATTTATTTCCTATTCAAATAACATTAATTTTAATGAGTACCTAGGTTTGATGCTACAGGGCAAGTTTATTGATAGTTTTGTATGAAATAATCAAAATTGCCAAATTACATTAAATATATCCATAACCAAGCAAACTTTGTGTGAAAATAAGAAAACCCAATTTTCATCCCCATAACCCTCCCCCCCTTAAACATCCGTTCTCATAGTCCGATCTTGCTGCGAACGGTGTTTTTTGGCCTCTGGGGATCTCAAAACGAAGTACCCCCGCCGCAGCAAACCTGAAGACTAAGCGAATTCCCATTTGCCTGATTGGATTTAGACTTAAATGTCTCCTTAAAAAATATCACATTTATTCCCTATTAAAACAGAATTAGTTTAACAAGAAGGCGTGATTAGGTTTGCTGTAACAGGGAGGGTAAAGGTGTGTTTTTTTTATGTTCATAGTTTAGTAAGAAATAAATGCATTTTCAAAATTTGATCAAAATATGTTCATAAACAAGCAAACTACATAGCTTCATTCCCTATATGGGAAATTCGCTAAAACTGTCTTCAATTTAAACGACATTGGCTACTGATGGTCTAAAAATAGGTTTTAAATATGAACGATGCTTCCAAAAGTCATTGTTGAACACCCAACATGGTTGAAGAATAAATAATTACAGCAAAGTACCACGTAACCATCTTATATCACATTAAGTTTACGATATAAGATTGGTGTAATATCCACAAATTGGTACACAATACAGATTCGCGCAAAGCCGGACATGGCAATTCAAAAGCAAGCAAAACCTTCTACTCACTCAAAAATTAATTATCATCCCAGTGAAATTAGTGGACAGACGAATATCGTACGAAATACAGTAATAAAAAAGTTTGTTTCAAAAACTAGCTTCATAAAAATATAAAACTATATATATAAACATAGCAAAAATATAATTAGTAAATTGATTTTTACTCACTAAAGTCGATGAGTAACCTTCCGTAGCCTTGTCTCTGGTAAGGTGGCAGAGTGAGAATACACGAGACGTTGTAGTTGAGAAACGAGTTCTTCTCCTGAAACAGTGACAAGAAAATAGTTAAGGATGGTGTCAAATTGTAGCTAAGCTAGGGAACTGTACTTCTTGACCTAAAGTGTCAGTGTAGATTATTGCCACTATCAAGAACTGTACAATGAGGAACGGGTTCTCCTCTGAAACATACGAAATTGAAGTTAGAAAACAAACAAACACTGATGGCTTTGCATGATTGACACGTGGAAGATGAAGAAAGGAATATTCGCCTGAAATTATCATGGAAATGACAAAATTTATATTCTTAAACAATTGTACTATTTTTACGAAACTGGGCGTATTTTCACCCAATTGAAAGTAAATGATAAGTGGAAAACTCAGTGAGATGCTTTACGAAGCTTTGTTACTGACTTAAAACAAGCCAGCCAGAACCATTTTAGCCCAATGAACAAACACTTTTAGCACTATTTGAATACTACTATAAGTTTTAAGGTATGTGGTGAAATGTAAATAAACACTTCGACAGGACGATCGATTCCAACATTTTGAACGTCGACGAAGATTAGTGGTAACCCCAGAGACTGTCCCCTCTCCAGGATAACCTCTGATAACCCGAAATTCCCGACCGGGACCTCCCCACCCCCCGCAACCCTTATCTGGAGGCTTGGCTTCCTGTAGACCCCGCTGGGAATAACTTATCGTCCAACCTCGAGGTTTTTTGTGGGCGACACACAGTCAAAATAGCTCAGCTTGGATGATGTAAAATCCAGCATGAGTGCGTCATTTGTGACAAGGTTTGTTTGTTACCTGTCGATAACTGGGTCTAAACTCAGCCTAGATTGATTCGATCCAAATCAAGGTGTTTTATTGTAAGTATTTGATAGTTAAAAACACAATATGAGTGTTGGGTGAGTGTAAAGTGAAGAAAGATGCCTTGTGTAGCTTTGCTGACTAAGATTAGCTGTTTCCTTAGCCAGGACCATTTATTGAAATTTCAATCAATAACAGCTGAGTCCAGTTTCGAGCCCCCACAACGTCTGACTAATTGACAACCTAACAAATTTAAGGAAAAAAAACTCAACCAATGGTTTGGCCTTTTATTGATGCTAAAATGAAAACATAAAATTCATTTCCAAAAGAAAACACTAATTCATGAGTTCATTCATGAGGAAAGTCTAAACTTCTTTGTGTCGCCTATCCTTTTGATAACTGAAAAACAAGAGTACCCAGTCATGGAAAATGTATCAAATCTAGAAGTTTTTGTAAAAATGTTTTTATCTTGTGCATTCATTTAACGATATTTGCTTCAATCATCAGACAACCAGTTTCAAACAACAGTTTCACATTGGGTTATTGTGTTACGAACAGAAGCAAAAGTAACCTTAAAGTTTCTTTAAAGTGTGACAACAGTTAGATGAATGAGGGAATAAACAAATTAATTTATCAATTGTCTAAGCAGAGACTTCGCCTTCAAATATGAGAGTTCAATACAAGTCAGTGTCGATTCTGGATGCAGATTGCATTTACCATTTGGCAGTTGAATTACTCATTCTCTAAAAACGCCAATGGCAATAAACGCGAAAAAACTAATAACTGTACTTTCTAAGCTTTGGAGACACTAGAAAAGTAAAAAAGACTAATCCGTACAAAGTAAACGTATCAAGTAGACGATTCAGTAACGAAGTTACACGGTGCGTGTGCGTGTGAGACGTATGTCGGTTGTAGTGTGTACGTGCGTGGACTGCGTATGTACAATATCTCGCTCTCAGCGTATTTCTACACGTGATTTACGTATTTCCACGCTTCTCTGACTCCAGCACCCCCTAGGGACCGACTTGTAACCGACGACGCATTTGGTTAATCTTGGGATACACTGGAATATTTTGTACCAAGGAAGTAGATCAGTATGAAACAACCATTTGCACTAGCGTTCTTTCGACTTCAAGTTGCATAGTTTTTTTTTTTTTTGCAGGGACACATTGGTTTTCCAAAAACACGGATATTTAACGCATTTGTACATTTAACTTTTTAACGATTTGGCAGAATGCATTATTGTCTAATATGTATGTAGGGGTGTACCTTACAAGTACACACAGTGTCATTTCAAGAAGCACTTGGCATAACGGAAAAATATGTGCTGAAAGAGGTTAAAATCATTTTCCTCCATACATGAAGCCCCCTACAATTTTCTGTTACCAACACAAGTATCTATAATCGTAATTTAACAATTAATTTTACATTGAGTCATTTTATAATTCTTTTGAGTAATTTATCGCGAGAACATCTTTATTGTTTAAGTCCTAACTTTCTTCACGATAAAGTTCACCCGTGTGATACTGATAGCTCAGCAAAATTCGCGACAAACTGAATAAAACTTCACACTCCACGTACCATATCGCGACAGCAAAGTGGTGTACATTTATTACAGAAATAGGGATATTTGTGATCGGCTCATCCCTGCAAGGCAACACTGATACCACCATACGTCACAATCACTCCATATATCGCATGTATTGCAGGCTGCCATTGCTGCCAACCTATCAAACCCGAATTCCCTCTTCAAAAGCTGAATTTATCACCTGTAACAGCCGAACGAGTCTAAACAACGATCTGCGTATTCAATACGAATTGGAGGTTGCGTTCCTCTCAATGGATCAGGTTTAGTTCGCCGGTCAAGTTAATTACGAGTTTGGCTTGTAAAGTGGTCACTTTATAATATTGGCCAAAATAAGATTGGTTAGTTTGATGCGTAGCTTAAATTTAAGGTATCAGGCGTTCGATTACTGACTGAGTTAGGGTTTTTGTTACTTAAAATCATCGTTTCTTTCATCAGTGTTTCCTTCGAAACTTTGTAGATGGAAAATCCTCATCCTGTAATACTAACATATGGACATTCCTGTCTAGTTAAGTTCCATCGAAGGTATCATCAGTTGGACAAGTTGACAGGCCGATTAATGATTGCAGGGACTAATGATTTAACATGGACACACTCCAGACCCGTAATATTTCCATGTACGATTCCGAGAAAAGTCAAAAGATTTTAATTGTTTGAAAATGGTCTTGGCTTTCCTCAATCAAAAATTGGGGCTAAGTAAATTATTCTGTCTAAAGAACCAGCTGATAATTAGTTGTCACAAAGCTTATCCAAAAATCATATTTCAGTCATATTCGCCATACGCAGCGATGTGTTGGCGTCTAGATCTATCTAAACAGGTCGTTGAGAAACTATATTACTGAGGGTAAATTGATACGAAAGCATATTTTTAATATGACCTATCATCACCTCTAACCAAAATTTTTACACAACCTAAAGTTTAACAAATAAATGTATCTTGTTAAATAAATGAAGTATTGAGAATTTACTCACCTAAGGAAAAAATTGGTTAGCTGTACATTTTACGAGTTTTCCCTCGAAGAAAACGCACTAGGTATTATTGGCGAATCAAATTACAACTCAACTTAGTCCGATACTATTTTATCACGATTAAATCACAAGCTTCCTTAAAATTAAAGTTCTACATAAGATCACTCCATTTATTTTTACTTCCACTTTTTACTTGTAGTAATGCGCTGAAATAAATACAGCCTACAGTATTTTCTCACATGGAGCCCTACATCGGTTGAATACTGAACACCAGAACACTGTTTTGTAGAATGTTCAATGCACACTACGCCCCATCACGACGAATATAATTTTTTAACACAACTATACTTTTAGACACAAAAATAAACAGAGCCTTTATTATTTTTGATACCTGTCTAGAAATCGTTAAATTTCATTAAATTGTTTCGTAGGAGCTAAATGATCCATCAGAAGGTATGAATATATAACGTCTTACTCAGTCTGCCTACTAATTATTAAGTGAGACTGTTTCACATTTTACTGATAAATCCTGTAGACCGTGTAAGATTGATCTACTCTCACACCTCGAGAAACTTCCCCATAACAAAGTTAGTGTCGCCGACGAGAGCGTGACAGATCTTAAAATAGCCTCAAAATGTAAATAAATACGGCAAATAAGGTTATTAAAATATTTAGTAAACTTTTGAATAAAAAAATATATATTTAAAATTTTAACTACAACATTGCGTTTTTTTTTTTTTTTTTTTTTGCTTGAAATTCCATAGAGAATAGGAATTGTATGAGTTTTAAATATGACAAAACATGAATTCAAAGGTTTCATAGTAGTGGTAACACGTCTAGGTTAAAATTTTAAGTTAGGCTGATTTTTGCGTACCTTTTTTCTTCAAGTAATGACGATTCTTAATCTACAACTAAAAAGGGTATGCGAGTATTTACTCTAAGGTAGGTAACGCAATTATACCTCAATTATTAATGCTACCTTTCTTTACATTACTCAGTTCATTTGGATCGGATGGAGAAGACAAGGGTATTTCCAAATCGGCTAGTCATTGTATTTTTAATCAACTAATAACGGTTAGGGCCTATGGGCTACAGTAATTTTTTAGAAATTACTAAAAACGGGCAAAAAAAGACCAACAATAAAACCAATGGGCGGTAAAAAGTTAGTGGCAGCGGTGGGATTCGAACCCACGCCTCCGAAGAGACTGGTGCCTTAAACCAGCGCCTTAGACCGCTCGGCCACGCTACCATGTGAGAGGAGGGTTTATTTGTCGGTTAAGAGAGCAAATCATTGTCGGACAGGTTAAATTATCAAAGTGGAAGTGAATACTAAATTGGTGTGTGAAGAATTGCAAATGTAGGCTGGAAGTCACAATCCATAATGGTAGAATGATTTTACAACTAACTTGGAATGAAGCGCAGACATATTTGTCCAAGCCATGGAATTGTCCAATCATTCCTGAACTTAATCACTTTTCGATTACACAAAACCGAACACAAACGAATGCCAGACCACCTGTTATTAGTTGGGTCAAAGAACAACAAACAAAAACTCTGGTTGGCGATTGGCTGGAAATAATTAACGATCGTGGACAAAGAGGTACATATACTGGCAAATAGTGGAGAAATTACACACTGTAAACCGCCTGGAGCGCACTAGTGTATTAACAGGTAGCAAATAAACCTCCCGGTGTTAGAAATGTATCACTTTTCATCCTGTGAAGTGACTAGAAAAATATTTCCTCTAGTTTAATAACATATAGCAAATATTTAATTATTTATCCACGGTATAACTATTTTAAAATAATTATGTAT